AGGCGGCGCTGCGCGGGGTGGGGGTGGGGGAGCCTCCGCCGCCTCCAGCTCGGGCGCCCGGGCCGGCGGCGGGGCGGGCCGGGGCCGCGGCCTCTGGAGGCTCGCTCCGGCCCGCGCGCTCGCTCCCCGGTCGGGCGCGCCTCAGGGCGGGCTCCCCAGGCGGAGGCCGCGGCCGCCTCGCTGGGGCGGAAAGCCGCTCGATTCGGGATTTTTTCTCTCCATTCTCCCAACACACAGGAAATAACAGAGCGTCAGGTGACGGCGCGCGACCAATGGGGAGGCGCGAGGCCGCGGCGCGCGGGCGGGCGGGAGGGCGCGCGGCGGGGGCGGGGCGTCGGGGGGCGGGGCCGGCGCGCACGCGCGTGCCCACCCGCGTGCGGCGGCGCCGAGGCCTGTGCGCGCCGGGTCCGCCCCAGCCCGGCCGCGGGGGTCGAGCGGGGTCCCTCTCGGCGGCCGCGGGGCGCAGCGCGAACGTGTTGCCACGTGCTCCGTGCCATCTTGGCCCACAGCTTCCTTCCGTCCGTCCGTCCGCCTGGAAGTGGTGGCCCAGAACTTTGTGGGGAGTTAGTGGCCCGGAATCTCTGGAGTCCCTGGGGCCCCCAACCGCAGCGCCCCACCTCGGGCGGCCGAGGAGTGTGGAACCAGGGCCAGGCCGCCTCCTGGTAACCTGGTCAGTAGGGCTGGGCACGGCGGTGGCTCTGGCCTCCAGACGCCCTCAGGGCCCTGCAGACCCGGTTCTCTGGCCGCCTCCACCTCTTGGCCCCAAGTGTCCTTGGATGAATGACTTGGGCCCTCAGTTCCCTTCGCTTCCATTAAACGAGGGGCGGGGAGGCCCACCGGCTTCACATGTAAAATACACGCTCACCAAATGCCAGTTGCCTTTGCCTGCGGCGGCATTAAGACCTGCAATGCCTGGTTGGCTGGATCCAGAGTCCAGAATTAATTTGGAGATAAGGTGGATGATTGGTGGTGCCAAGGCCTCAGGCTGTTCCCAGGCTTCCTTTGCAAAGGAATGGCTCGACTTTTGAAAAGGAAATCTCCGTTGCAGAATCACCCCTGCGCTCTGTGCTGTGTGACCCATTGCTATCAGAAGTGAGGCCAGCGAGATGATGTATTTGGAGGGATTGCGATCCTGTCTGTGACTCACCTGGATACCCGGCCAAGGTCTCTCCCCACTCTGGGCCTCAGTTTCCCACCTGGGCACAGATGTTCTTAACATTGGCCAAAATTGCTGATTGTAGATGTTAAGAGTAGTTCCTTTTCTGAAGCAACCCAACTCGAAAGTAAACTGGAGTTGGAAAAAATGCTCTGCCACAGCAGGTGAAGGCTGATGGGAACCAGGTGTGACCTGGGACCCAGATTCAGGTGCATTTGAGGTACACAGCTCCCCAGGGCCTGGCCTACCCTTTCACCTCTCACCCCACCTAGCCAGACACATTAACACTTTGCCTGGCGGCAGGCCACCCAGGGAGGGGCCTGGCTGTGGCCACACCTCCCCAGCCTTGGGATCCCAGGCAGGGCCTGAGTTGGTTCTAGCACCTCAGGAGGCTGTGAGTGGAAAAGGCAGTGATTTCTCTTGGCGTTTGTCCAGCCTCACAAAGTGGGGGCCAGTTCCAATGTGGGTCAAGGCTCTGCTCGAAGACTTGGTTCCCAGCACCTCCTGCTGCCAGGAGGGGGTGCAGGCTCTTCCGGGGCAGAGCTGAACAGGCTGTGGGCCCTACCCTTCGGCGGTTCCCATTGTTCTGTGAGTTTCATTTTCAAATTCTTTGGCACCAAGATAAAAAAAAAAAAAAAAAAAAAAAAAAAAAAAGACCAGTGCTGGCTTCTGCTTGGATCAGGGCTTCAGAGGGAAAGGTTGGGGGGCTCTTCAGCACAGACCCATGTTGTCTGGACAAACAGAAGGATGCAGGGGAGCGCTGTGAACCCTGAGTGTTGGGGGCACCCTCACTTTTGTGAGAACTCATGAAGCAGAGGGCAGCCCTCTTCCTTCAGTCTCCTGCCCGTCACTCCTCCCTCTTCTCCCCTCTTCCTCGGCTCACTCGGGTTTCAGACTGGGGGCTGGACCATGACACACATGGTGACCAAGGACAAGAATGCAGAGATAACTGGAGTCCCGCTCTCGTTTGCTCTCGCCTCCTGTCCTGGGACTGACTCCATAGCCCCTCCCACTCCCTGGGAGCCCGCTGCAGCGCCCAGCTGCCCAGCTGCCCTCCACCTGCAGGCTTCCCAGGCCTAGGGCCAGGCCGGCCTCAGCTCCCTCAGCAGTGGCGGTCTGTCACTCTTCCCTTTGGTGCCGTTGTGGGTGCTATGGCCAACAGACAGATGTGAGGGACCTTTGGGCTGTGTGGTCTGAGACAATGCATTTCACCTCTGAACCTTGGTTTCCTCAGCCACAAAGTGGAGATAATATGACCTCCCTCCTAACATGCGTGTTAGGAGGATCTAGAGACCTGCATAAAGAATTCAGTACATACCAGGCACATGTTCACAGCTACAGTTCTATGCTGTGGACACAATATGGCTCAGAGAAGCTCAATCATTGCCCCAGATCCCAGTGGCCAGAGCTCAGCAGCTGGGAGTCCCCTCCTCTGTGACCACGCTAGCATCTACTGTTGTTCTCTCACTCTCTCATCTTCAAGAATCCCGTCTCTCCTTCCACACTTTCAGAAAAAGACAATAGCTTCGTGAGATTCATTGTGACCCTCCCCTCTGGCCCAACCCAGTCCACTCGAAAAATACTTATTGAGCTGAATCAGTGGTTTCGATTCCAGAAGCTAACGGCATCCTTTCCCTCCTCCTCTGGCTCCGGGACGGTGTTTGGAAGCCGTGTCACTCTCTCCCTTTATTACAGACTCCTCTGCCCTCCCCCAGGCCTGGCCACTCCGGGATTACAAATGGAGCCTCCACCTCCAGGGCACTGCCTCCGCCAGCTCCCGGGTGTCAGCGCGGATTGATGGAGGAGACTGGCCCTGCCGGCCCCATCAGTGACTTGTGCCGAGTGAGCCGCGTGTCCTGCCTTCAGCAGCAGGCGGATGTCCTTCTTCTCGCTCTCTCGCAAGCTCTTGAGCACACGTGCAGCCCTCACCTTCCTCCCTCTGCGGCCCCCCCCACTTCCTCTGGCAGGGCCTCCTGCTGACTGGAGCACACCGAGAGGCTGGCTGGAAGGCTGGCTCCTAGTTCTTGAGAGACACCTGATAGAGCCTCAGGTTCACAGAGTGGGGAACCCCCACCTCGTCCTGCAGAGCCTGTCCCGGGCCAGGCACTTCCCCCATGCAAACCAGATGGAGCAGCGGGTACACACGGGTACACAAACAGCAGGGTGGCCAGATCCGCGGTGGCACGCCTTCTCTCCACACAGAGCACCTGCCGGGTGCTGGGCTGGGAGCCCCGCTGGGGAGGGCAGAGGGGCAGAGAGAAAGTCTTTCTGGGGCAAGGACAGGGCCAGCTCTAAGCCTGGGAGGTTCCACAGGGCCAGGGGATACCAAGCCTTAGCAGGGTGGGCCAGCCGCCTGCTCTTCCCGGGAGGGCTGTGCCAGTGGAGGGCGAGGGGAAGGGGAGAGGAGGCTTCGGAGGAAGGCCAGGGTGTGGGCCTGCAGGGCCGGGTTCTGTGACCCGCTTGGTGTGAATTAGTATCACAGGGTCTCAGGGACCTCTGCTCAGGTGTGGATGGAAGTCGTGGCTCCCTCTTTAGCTCCCACTGGCCACACTGGGCTGTTTATGTGACTGTCAGTCTCTCCCCGGGAGTATGAGCATTCGTGGGGCACACACCTCTGCCTTGTTGGTGTCTCCAGCATCCTATGCAGGATGTGGCTTCCTGTGAACGGGCACTGTGTTTGCAACAACCTGGTGAGGTTGGTAGTTATCAACCCCACTTGACAGCTGAGGCCACTGAAGCACAGTTTGAGTAACTTGTCCCGGGCACACAGTGTGGAAGGGTCCCTGGGGCGAGGCGGGTTGGGGTTCGATGCTTTAGAGGCTGCGCTCCTGACCACAAGCTCCCCAGCGCTTGGCAAACAGTGGAAGATGGACGGACGCACAGCTGGTGGGGAGAGACAGCAGGGTGGGCACCAGCCTCTCCCCACAGTAACGTGTGAAAGTCCGGAGGCTGGGCAGGCTGCCTGGGAGACCACGGCCTTCCCAGCTAGTGGCCTTGCTGGGCCCCACGGCATCCATCTTCCCACAGGTGAGTGGAGAGAGAACACGGAGGAGACACAGCTGAGCAGCTGGAGGCCCCTGAGCCTGGCTCCACGCGGAGCACACTCAGCCCACGCGGAACTCCTGCCCCTGGTGGCACAATCCTCCCTGGGCGGCCCTGTGTGTGGGCCTAGCACAGACCCAGGCTGGTCTCACACCCAGGACACCCTGGCCTTGTCCTTCAGCAGATGGCTCTGAGTCTGAACTCCCGCATCTGGAAGTTGGAGTGGGAGGAGGGGCTGAGGGGTCTGCCTGCCTCCAGGGAGTCGGTGTCTTACCTTCACTCCTCCCAACAGCCTTAGGAAGCGGGGATTATCGTCTTCATGGTACAGACAAGGAAAGGAACAGAGAGGTTAAGAGACATCCCTGAGGCGCCACAGCTAACAAGTGGCAGAGCTGGGATCTGAACTCAGCCTCTGGCCCCAGAGCCCCCATTGCGCACCACAAGTAGTGAAAGTGAAAATGAAGAGTTAAAAGTGAAAATAAAATCATCCAACCATCGCAGTGGCAAAGGCATGTCCTTAGCACTTGACCTACATGAACACACTTAATCCTTACAGCAGCCCTTGGAGGTGCATACTGGCATGAGGGTGTCCTGCAGATGGGGAAACTGAGGCCCGGAGACACTGGGAAGGGCAGAGTTCAATGTGAAGCCCGTGGGCTGGGCGGCAGGCTCCAGCTTCGCTTTATCACCAGCTAACAACAGGGAGGGTCCTTTCCTTTGGGATTATTTCTGCTTGAAAGCGCAAGACTTTTAGCCCCATCTCCGCGGGGCTTGGCGGGAAGACAGGGCCCCATGCTGAGGCATGCTGGGAAAAGACTTTGTTCCATCCTGTTTTGTTGACACGCTCTTCATTTTAAGCCCGAAACCCAAGCTTCCTGCGAAGAATTCAAATCAGGGAGGGGAGCGCAGCCCTGATACAGCCGCCACTCCCTCTGCGCGGGGCTCCCCGCGTCCTCGCCCCCAGCTCTCAAGGGGTCCGAGCAGCTCCCACTTCACAGTAAAGCACCCGAAGCCCCGAGCTGCTGACAAGATGCCCAGAGGCACACAGGTACTAAGGGCTCGGTCTGGGACCTGTGGCCGGGTCCCTCTTGAGAATCCTGGCTCTTCTGACTACATCCCGGGCACAGAGCGGGGCCTTGTTCGCTGGCTTGGAGGAAAACGCTCCTGTTCATCGGCCATGGCTGGTCCACCAGTGCCATGATCCCCGGATGCCGGGACACGGGTGCAGAAATGCAGAGATGGACGCTGCCTCCTCGATCAGGGAAGCTGAGCGATGGAGACACCGATGCTCCCTCCACTCCGTCTCCCTCCGGTGACTCGGGAATGGCTGCCCTGCCACCAAGGTGACTGTCCTCTGGAAGCAGCCAAGGCCGCGTGAGGTTCCTCAGCCCTGCCCTGCATCTCCTCGCCGGGACAGCTGCCAAGGCCCGTGTGTGGTTCCAGGAAAGGGAAAGCAGCAGGGTCGACAGATATCTCTGACTCCCAACCGGTCCTCTGGACTCGGCTCTTCCCGGCCCACCCGCCCCTGCAGCGGGCTCCTCGGTTACCCAGAGCCAGCTCTGCCCCCACTCCCTCTGGCCCAAAGGTTTCCGATGGGTCCCAAGTGCCTGCAGAGTTCAAGTTGATTCTCATCCACCTGGAACACGAAGCCCTCCTCTGGCCCAGCTCCATTCCCCGCCTCCTCTCACGTGTCCCATGCCGCCTCTTGGCCAAACAGAGTTCGCAGCTGTGTTCCCGCCTGTCTGAGCCCCAATGCACGAAGCCCCTCCCCTCCTCTTCCCTACAGACTGGAATTACACTCTCTTACAAGTTCTAGTCTAATGCCACCACCTCCTTGAAGCCTTACTTTAATGCCCATCGTAAATTCATTCAACCAACACTGACTGAGCCCTTGCCATATGCCACGCACTGAGCCCAAGGGTCCCTGTTGTCATGGAGCCTACAGTCCCCTGGGGCCGTTAGAGGGAACATCTTGTCATATAAATAATCATCTGGTAACAGCCACGACACACGTGAGTAAGCGCGTGGCAAGTGCCCACATGTACAATGGGACCCTGGGTCTTGGGGATCCAGGACATTTGAGATGAGAGCTGAAGGGCAGACAGGAAGGAGCCGTGTGACGAGGTTGGAAGAGAGCTCCAGGTGGCCGGCCCAGCGAAGGCCCCGAGAGAGGAGGGAGCAAGCGGATTTGGGGAAGGGGAGGGAGGCCAGAGCAGCATAACAGACATGAGAAGCCGGAGACGCAGCTGAAGCCAGACAGTGCGGGCGGCAGCAGGCTCGGGGACCTTGTCCCAAGGGGACCCAGGCAGAGGGAACGGTCACTATTCATTGTTAACGATCCTGCCAGCTGCCCGTGGCTGAGCATCTTCTGCAAAGTCCAGGCTTTGCGTCTGACCACCCCTGAGCCTCAGACATCTGGCCGTTTGGGTGTGGGACTTCCAGATGCTCCTGGACCGAGCTCTGAAGGAGAGAGCCGGCCTCCAGCTCTCCCGCCTCACCCCCAGCACACGGAGCTGCTCCGAAAGCATTTGTAGAACAAACAGAGAGGACGAGACACTTACCGGCACTTCCCCTGGAAGGGGCCAGGCTGCCTGAGGGGCCTTCCATGTTCTCTGGAAATCACAAAACCAAGGTTTTAGTAAGGCCGCTCCTCAGGGGACCCGAGAGCAGAGCCGGCACCCCGCTGGCGTCCACGCCCAGGGCAGCACCCGGCAGGACCCCGCACGGGCAATGCCCGTGACCGCCTCGCGAATGACAAGAACCAGAGCCAGCCCCCTCCGCTGCTGTAAGGTCTTTGGCTGGGCCCGTCCTCCCGGTGGGTGGGGCTCCCGCTCCGCTTTACAGATGAGGAAACCGAGTCCTGGGGAAGGGAGGACCCCGGCAAGCCACAGGAAAGCCAACAAGAACCTGGTAATGGTTCAGGATGTATGGCTCCCATGGCATAAAGAAACTTTCCAGAAATTTCTTCTAAAAATATTTTAAAGTGACATACTTCATCAGGATGTCTGTCACGCCAGCAGTGGGAGCCAACACACCAGTTCTCGCAGGCTGTTCCCCTACAGGCAGGGCCAGGGCCGGGAGGGCCTGAGTGCGGAGTCCGTGGCTCCCGGGACTGGCCCTCAGTAAGTGCTCAGTGTTTGGGGGAGTCAGCTGATTGAGGGGCAGCAGCGGAGAACATTCCCACAGCTCCTAACGGGTGCTGAGCTCCCTGCATTAACACAAGTCACCCCCACACACCTCTGGGGTGAATGTACAGCGACCCCACTTACAGGCGTGGGAACAGACTCAGCAATCCTTCGCCTGAGATCACCAAGCTGGCGAGCGGCAGAGCTGGGCTGGGAACCCAGGCCGCGCCCTTCAGCCAGCCCCACGCCTGGCTGAGTGAAGGGGGACAGAAACCTCCCGGAGAAAGGATCGGCACCGAGCACCCCTCGGAGGCCATGACCTTGTGCAGCGCCCCTCCCCCAGTGACCGCGGTCCCATCCCCCGCAGACTCCGGGTGGGCAGTGACAAGCTGGGATGGCAGCCACCTCATTACAGGTTACATGTCTCCCCAACTCCCGCCCCAAAGGTCTGACTCCCTTCATCTGCCCGGATCATAAGGGCTCCCAGCTGTGTAGCCCTCTTGGGTATAAAAGATAGGGAGCGGGGAGGGTCCCACAACCCTGAGCGAGCTCCCAAGCCCTCCAGCTCGGCCTTCTCATCTGTAGAATGGGGACAATCATAGCGCTCGCCACAGGGCTGCGCTGTCTCCATCATTCTGGTGGAATGATCCTGCCATCACCCAGCAGACAGCAGGACAGGGGTGAGCAGCCTGCCCAGCTCCCAAGCTGTGGAAGGAGAGGAGGGGAATGCGTGAACGGCCAGGGTGTTCCGGTAACTGAGCCTCAGCCAGGTGTGGCCTGAATGTGGCTCCCAGTTCTGTATATGCCCACCCCCAGGGCGCTTCCCGAACTCCGCTAGGTGCTGGGGCAGCCCCCTGCCCTCCTGGGGCCTCCTGGGAGCCACGACCCTGCTGGGCCCTCTCAGGTCCAGCGAGGTGCGCGGCTGGGAGCGGGAGCAGCGGGCAGGCCAGGCACCAAGGCTGTTCATCTGCGGCCGCGTGAAGAATGGAAGGGAAGAAACATCCTTTCTGGAAAAATCAATGGGCAGATGATACCGCCCAAGTCACAACCTACATGGAAGCCGTCCAAGAAAATCAAAGAGAAAAAATCGCAGCCCCTGGGTCTCCTGTGGCCACGCAGCCTCAGCCGGGGAAGCGAGGGAGCCAGCCGAGCCGCCACCCACAGGGAGGAAGGCCGAGGCGGGGGCCGTGGCTCGCTAGGGCCCCGAGGTGTTTTGGTGGCTCTGCCTTGGGGGGTGGGTAGTCCAGTCCAGGAGGCACATTTGCAGACCCCCAGCAGCCGAGTCCCTCTGATCTCGCCCGTATTACCAAGGTGCCAGCGTAGCCTCACCCAGAAAAACAAATGTCTGTGGCTCTTCCTTGCATGCTTTTGGCTTACAGGATGCCCTGCCCGCCACCTCCACCCTAACATGCTAGGCAAAGTTGGGGAGACTGCCTAACTCAGTAAGTGCTCACAAATGTTAGTTATTACCAAGCACCATCGTCGCCCCATTTTACAGCTGGGAAACTGGCTCAGAGAGACTGGTGACGCCACAGACACTGGGTGGGCGACCCTTCACTCTCCTCGGCTGACTTCCCTCCAAGCTCACAGGCACGGAGTGCTCCCCTGGCAGGGTGGCCCCGGCTCCCAGTGGGGCCCGGGCCGGTGCAGGACCCCAGGAGTCCTGAGACTCCAAATTCAGAGGCGATGCAGGCTGGCATGGGTCCTCTGGGAACCCCAGCTGAGAGGCCTGCGTTGGGAGGAGCTAGAACAAGCCAGGATTCTAGAGAACCTCCTGAAGCTCCAGGATACGAACCCCTCCAGAAGGTGAGTTTGCAGTGAGCGGAACCTGCCCACTCTGTCTTCAAGTCGGGGTCTCCCTTCCTCCAGAAACGGCTCTCACTGCGGAGAGAATCAGGGCCCTTCCCCTCCCCTCCCTGGGCTTGGCCACGAGGACTAGCCTTTTACACCTTAAAGCTCTGCTCTTGCACTTCCTTCTGGTGGAATACCCTCCCCTGCCATAGCCTGGCTAACTCCTCCTCATTCTTCCAGGCCTTCAAATGCCACCTCCTCTTGGAAGCCCTCTTTTTTTTTTTTATATTTTTTTATTTAAATATATTTTATTGATTTTGTACAGAGAGAAAGGGAGAGAGATACAGAGTTAGAAACATCAATGAGAGTCATTGATCAGCTGCCTCTTGCACACCCCCCCACCGGGGATATGCCCGCAACCAAGGTACATGCCCTTGACCGGAATCGAACCCGGGTTCCTTCAGTCCCCAAGCTGACGCTCTATCCATTGAGCCAAACCGGTTTTGGCTGGAAGCCCTCTTTGATTGCCCTTCAGAATTCACGGAGGCACTCCAGGGAGAACTTTTTCCTGTGCCCCTAAGTTGCTGGTGGAGCCAGCTCCCTCATAACCACTGCTGTCACTAATGGAGCACCTGCTGTGTGCAGGTACTGCACCTGCAGTCTCTTTATTTTATTTATCTATTGACTGATTGATTGATTTCAGAGAGGAAGGGAGTGGGAGAGAAACATCAATGATGAGAGAATCATTGATCAGCTGCTTCCTGCATGCCCCCCCCGGGGATCAAGCCTGAAACCCAGGCATGTGCCCCTAACCAGAATCAAACCAGGGACCCTTAGAGTCTGCAAGCCAACGCTCCATCCACTGAGCCAAACCAGCTAGGGCTTCCCCTGCAGTCTCTTTAATTTCCCAAACCAGCCTGCAGGTAGAGGCTGCTACTCCCAGGTCACTGCCTTTTAAACTGTCACTTGCCCAAGGTCACACAGCTAGAAAGTGGCCAGGGTGGACTGTCACTCAGGACCGCTGACCCCACAGCTACCAGGGTGCATCAGAGTGGGGGCTGTGGGAGGAGGAGGCCTGTTGCCCTCTCCCATCTGTATGCCTGGGGGTGCCAGCATCTTGGCCTCGGGCAGAGCCTATTCATCCTTCCTTCCTTTTCCACGGGCACAGGAAGCCCCAGGGGACACCGGAGCCCGCAGACCAGGCGAAGGCCAGGCAGGCACTGCTCCTCACCCCTGCCTCTCCGGCCCCCCAAGCAGCTGGACCTGTGGGCCAGGATCTGAAGGAATCGCCGGGGTGGACACACAAGGCTACCAGCCATTGCCAAAGGGACAATATTAAACCACCGAGGCTCTCCGCACGGGACAGGCACCTCCTCACAGATGTGGCTGCAGCTTCCCCCCCACGCCAGCTCCACGGGGAAGTCCCCATCCGGTGGGTGTGCCCACGGGGTGAGCCTGCCACACCTTCTCGGATGTGAGGCAGTGCTACTGTCCCGTCCCGGAGGCCCAGGGTCCTGGGGAGCTGCGGGTCCGGACCTGCTCCCCGGTTTCCAGGCACAGACCTCCTTCCGCAGCGCTCAGCTCTGGGCAGGCAGGCGCTGGGAACGCTGAGGCGCCCGGAAGTCCCTTCACCCAAGTGACCACAGCGTGGGCCGTGCTGTGAGAGAGGGCATGGGGGCGGGCACAAGCCCAGCCCCTCCAGATGGAGGGGGTCCACTGAGTCCAGAAGGACCTGAACGGAGGCGGTGAGGTCAAGGTGAGGGACCGGCTCCCGGGGAAGGAGCAGTGTGTGATGGGCTGGACCCCGCTGGCCACGGCCTCCCGCTGACCTTACAGGTGAGGAGCGCCCTGCCCGGTGCAGCCCGCCCTGTGCATTCCCCGGAGACCTGCTCCAGGGTCACAGGGCCCCCTGTGTGCAGACCACGCATCGCCTGACCTGGTCCCAGCCCGAGCTGTGGGCTGTGACTGCTTCCCAGCGGGGGTCAAGCCCAAGCTCCTTGCCCCCACGGAGCTGTCAGAGGAGGCAAGGTCCTGGGACGCTTTGCCAACACCAGCCTGGCAGCAGAGCCCTCTGCCAGCCTCCTGGGCAGGCCAGGCCAACACTGCAGCTAAGGGCACACCAGCCCCGGCCTGTCTCTGAAGCCCCATCCCAGCCTCGGTCCCGGCTCTTGGTCTCTGCTCATTGGGGGGGTTGGTGGGGGGAGCAGCTGTGTGCAGAAGCAGCCCAGTGAGACCTCGGCCATCCACGCTAAGGGCATGACAGGAGCCGCGACCCCGTCTGGGGACAGAGACCTGGCAGGGAGGCCGCTGAGGGGGTCGGGAGGGCAGCCAGGGCCTCCCGAGCGGGAGGAGGGCGGGTGCAGAGAGGAGGGAGGCGGCTCCTCCCGCCATGCCGGCCTGTCTGTCTTCAGCACTTCACTGTAAAAATAAATGGAGGCAGCACACGCCAGACAGAGCAGAGGGAGGAGAAAAACCCCACACCGCCCCACACGGCTCCCTGGCGGGTCTGGGCCAAGGCCCTCGGCCTGGGTTACTCGCTGCCGCTTCTCCAGGGAAGCTGCTGGGGCCAGATTTGCATTTACCACAAACAGAGACAACACAATGTCATAATCCTTCTCCTGTCATTCTCCCCTCTCCTCCTCCTCCCACCTCACACACACACACACACACACACACACACACACACACACACGCACACACGCACACACGCACACGCTAACACAAAATGACGGCTCCCTCGACAGCCTGAATGAGCAGAGCCCTGGATCTGCCTCTTAATTGCCGGCGTTTCTCTCCGGCCGCCCGCCCCGTGCCCGGCGCCCAACTTGCGGCAGACCACCCACCGCCCCCGCCTTTGTCCCGAGTCACCGCTGACAAATGGCCCGCTGGAGGGGGAGGAATAAATATGCCTGGAAATGGTGGGGGGAGCGAGGCGGGGCAGCCGGCCCCCTCCCCCGCAGCTGCCTCTGCGCCCCGGCTGCTGGGCTCCCCCGCCACGGATGCCGGCTGGCCCGGCGGGGCCGGGGGCGGCGAGGGCAGCTCTGGCCCCGGGACTCTGCGCAGGGGCCTTGCCCTTCACGCCCCTGCCGCTGCCTGGCAGCCGGCTCCCCAGCCGCCCCTCCTCTCCCCATTCTCCCGGGCTACCCTGAGCACCCCCGCGCCCCCTCCTGCTCTTTACGCAGTTTCAAAGCTGCAGCCGCCACTTGAGCAGCTGCGGCCTTTGATGGGGACAAGGCGCTGAAGGCTGCCCGGGAGGCCCCTGCCCGCCCCCCCCCCCGCCTCCTCCCGGGCAGGGCCGCCTGGCATGGCGGGGTGCCCAGTGGGCACGCCTCGCACACCAGAGCGAACTTTCACGGCCGGAGGGGGAGGCGCCGCGCGCCACGCCGATACCTTTGCAGCAGCATTCTTCCTGGCACCTGCCCGGACCCCGGGCAGACCGCGGACCGCGCACCGCCAGGGGGCGGGCAGCCACTCCGGAGCGAGGCCGGGAGGAGGGAGAGGGAAGAGGAGGAGGAGGAGAAGGAAAGGGGGGTAGTTTCCCAGCTCGCAGCCGCCTCGCGGCTCCTCCTGCCCAAGCCGGCAAGTGAAGTCACGGCCGCGGCGGTGACCTCAGCTGAGCCTCTGACATCACGGCCGCCGCTGGATCTCACCTCTGCGGGAGGAGATGGAGGAGCGGCAGGGAGGAGGGACGGACGGAGGAGGGAGGAGAGCGCCAATCCCTCCAGAGATCTCGTGCTGGCGTGGGGGAGGGGCGGGCGGCTCATCTCGGAGAAAACGTTTTATCTCTGTGGACGGGGCGATGCGCGTCTGTCTATTTCTAATTGGCCCCAGCGTGAACGGCTTAAAAGGGGTGAGTACCCCCCACGGTAAAGAGCGGCAGCCTGTCCTAGCCGGACTTGCTCAGCGGGGAGAGCGCTGGCCTGGGGACTCAAGGGCCCCGGGTTTGATTACAGTCAAGGGCACATGCGTGGGTTGTGGGCTCGATCCCCAGTAGGGGGCGTGCAGGAGGCAGCTGATCAATGATTCTCTGTCATCCTTGATGTTTCTATCTCTCCCTCTCCTTCTCCCTCTCCCTTCCTCTCTGAAATCAATAAAAATATATTTAATTTTAAAAAAAGAACTACAGTCACTGCTGTTCTTAGAGCCCATGGGTGGAGGCCAGCGGGACAGTATGGA